GTGCCCGTCACCTGACGCACAGCTTCCATCATTAACATCACCTACCTCATTCCTCTCCTAGAAGCCTGCCTTGAATCCTATGCATGTATGCATATGTACGTGTATTTTTTTTTTTTACACTTACCCTGGGAATCTATGTCCGTGCAAAGATCTGGCTCCCTGTTTCAAGGCTAAGCCATACTTCATTGTCCAGTTGTCCAAATCTCTGATGTCTACTTATCTCATCATCTCTTGATGTATACATGTATATATACAAAGGTTCCACTTTCTTTCTTTTAATGTTGATTTCTTTATTTAGAGAGACATGGGAAGGGCAGGGAGAGAGAGGATCCCAAGCAGGCTGCATGGTCGGTGTAGAGCCCGACTCGGGGCTTGAACTCACGAACCTCGAGATCGTGACCTGGGCCGAAATCCACAGTCGGACGTTCAACCGACTGCGCCACCCAGGCACCCCTAAAGGTTCCACTTTCTTGACCGAATATACCGTAAATGAACAAAATTTTACGGGATACGTAGGTTTATAAAATTTTACGGGATAAATACCGCAAAGTGGACTTACTGGGTAAATGTGTTAATGTACATTTTAAAATTTGAAAGATTTTAAATTTAAAAGATATCACAAAATTGCCCAGGTTATATGAATTTACATCCCCAGAAAACGAAAGCCGTTTCCTGTCCGAAGTCTTTTCACTTACATTTCTTTAATGACTAAGGTGACAGAGCATCCTTTCATATTTGGTGGCCCTTCGTATATCATCTGTTGCCCTTTGCTGACTTTTCCATTTGGTTCTTTTTCTCTACTTTTATCGATTTTAGGAGTTCTGTCTACGGCCATACCACCCTGAACGCGCCCGACCTCGTCTGATTTTAGGAGTTCTTTGTATATGAAGGACATTAGGCCTTGGCCATCGATGCTACAGTTTCCCCCCCACCCTGCCCCCAACTGTGGGTCTTTAATTTTATACATTGTTTTTACTTTGGAAAAATTGTAACTTTATTTGTAGCCACATACACGATTCTTTTCCTTTTGCTAGAGGATTTAAGTGTATTTATTTTGAGAGAGAGAGGCAGAGAGAGAATCCCACGCGGGCTACACACTATGAGCACAGAGCCCAAAACGGGGCTCAAACTCCTGGAGTCATGAGATCATGACCTGAGCCGAAACCAAGAATTGGACACTTAACCGAATAAGCCACTCAGGCACCCCTATGTATATATACGTGTATATATATATATGTATGTGTGTGTGTATATATATATATACATATATATATATGTATATGTTTTGTTTATATATATATATAGTATTTTTCAAGTCTTTATTTTTAAGAATTTCTATACCCAACGTGGGGCTCAAATTCACAGCCCCGAGATCAAGAGTTGCATGTTATACCAACTGAGCCAGCCAGGTGCCTCACAGATTTGAATTTAAAAACCTGAATGCTTTTAAGTAAGGAATACATTCTTTATTTCCCCACAGGATTCAGCAGTGTTTGTACTATGTCCTCATAAATGGGTGATTTCATGTTTTTAAAGTTGTCTGTCTAGTCCCTTGAGACAGATTATAGATGTATAAGTATAGGTATATGTTTGTGCACGAGTGTTTTTATGTGAGTGTGTATGTGTGTGTATATATTTACTCTAGAACTTTTATGGTTTCGTTGTGAAATGAAACCATTTCAATTTTGGACCCATCTGCAATTTTTTCGAAGTAGGCTTCAAGCCCAGCGTGGAGCCCAGTGCGGGGCTTGAACTCACGACCCCGAGATCAAGACCTGAGCTGCGACCAAGAGTCGGTTGCTTAACTGACTGACCGGGCGGGGGGGGGGGGGCTGCAATTTATTTTTGGTGGAGTAAATGAACACAACCAAGAACCAGGACGAACTTTTCTATCTTTCTGGCAGGCAGCACAGGGGAGGGTGGACGTCAATGCCTGTTGGCAGATTCAAAACAAACCTATGTTGTTTGTCCCTTTAGAAAAATGAAGCAAATTCTGGGATGATACACATAATCCCACCACCCAAAACAACTGCCTTTTTCCCATGCAACGTATTTCCTGCAAGTATTTTTGTTTCCTTAGTATGTACAGGTTTTCGTTTCAGAAATCTGTTTTTTGCCTGTTTCAACATGTGACAGCATCTCTAACTGCTAACACTTGACGTTTTCACCCAGCAGTTCCCAAACCTGGCTGGGCAGCTGGCTTCCCATTGGAGCTTGTTTAAAAAGAGTGAATCCGTGGGGTGCCCGGGGGGCTCGGTCGGTTAAGCGTCCAACTGTGGCTCGGGTCATGAGTTCGAGCCCCGCGGCGGGTTCTGTGTCTCCCCGTCTCTCTGCTCTTCTCATGCTCTCCCTCTCTCAAAATTAAAAATAAATAAACATTAAAAAAAAGAAAAAGAAAAAGAAAAAGAATCCACAACCCCACGGGGTGGACCCCGGGAATCCACGTTTTCAATGAGTTCCGCGGAGGTGCCTGGGACATAAGCAGGACGCCTCTCCCGTCCCCCCGGCCGTACCTGTGATCGTCTGGGTCTCGGAGGTGATGGTCCTGGTGGTGGCCTGAGTCTGGGCGGCAGGCACGGTTTCTTCAGACACAAACTGGACCGTGCTGGGGGCGGCCCCGGACGAGCCGGTCAGCGGGCAGCCGCTCTGCTTATGAGCCACAAAGGCATCCAGGTTGTTGAACTGCTGCTTGCAGATGCCGCAGATGTGGATGTCCGGAGTAAGTTCCACCAGCACCGTTGTGCCACCTGGAACTCCATGGGACAAAGGGAAAGTCACAGATTAATTAAGCGGCCAATTCCAAACAGCTTCAAATCGCGACACGGACCAGATCGCGGCAGCGAGGGCCAGTTGTTGGCGCCGTGTCCGTTCTGCTCCCTTCTTTTGTCCCAGCCAGCAGCAGCGTTCCCAGACCCAACTTCCGGCTCCTGGCTCCTTTGCACCGTTGCCCGTGGGGACACCGGTGGCATTTTACGCAAGAAAGTTCTTTGGTGTGCAGGGCTGCTTGCACTCTGAAGGACCGGGAGCTAGTCCTATCCCAACAAAAGGTAGTTGTACTTCCCAGTCATTAAGAAAACCAACCCCTCCGCTTGGACAACCCTCCCGCCCCCATCCAGGAGAACTACCAGTCTAAATAATCTTGGTCCCTTACATACTTGGGAACTTCTGGGAAAATCTGGCTTTCGTGATAAAAAGGGGTTAGACATGGTTGGCACTGGTCCCCTGCTCTTCTGGCCTTGCATGCGGATGTGATGCCAGGAGCTTCTGCAGCCATGTTGTTACTATAAGGAAAATGCTAAAATCCCTACAGATGCTCATCCTTACTTCATTGATCCCCTGAATCAACCAATCCCAGACTTTTCATTAGGCTGGGATAGTTCAGTTTGTTACCTGTAGCCAAAATTCACTCCTAACTGATAGGGGTACTGTTTCTCAACAGTCCATAATGATACCAAAAGTTAACCATGATGATACCAAAAGTTAACAACGTGTTAACATTTGCAAAGCACTTCCCACAATATCTGGTACCGTATAAGAAAGTGCTATGTAAATGTTTGCTAAATAAATACAGTCAGGTACCTGGCTGGCTCAGACAGTTAAGCGTCAGACTTCGGCTTGGGTCATGATCTCAGAGGTTCGTGGGTTCAAGCCCTGTGTCTGACTCTGTGCTGATGGGGTAAAGCCTGCTTGGGATTCTCTCTCCGCCCCTCCCCTGCTTGTGTGAGCACACACGCATGCACACTCTCTCTCTCTCTCTCTCTCAGAATAAATAAAACTTAAAAACATATAAAAAAGATACACAATCAATGAATGAGTCTCTAATAGGACTACCTTTATTTTTATTTTAAAAATTTTCTTTGCCTCATCATAAGGAAACTCATGTTAATAACAGAAAATTGGGAAGAGAAGAAGCAGAAGGAAAATCACTCACAATCGTTCCACCTCTGGGTACCATGAACATTACAAAACATTTTCTTCCATTCATTAACGCTTATAAATTAAGATCATAATGTACTGTAAAACTGGTCTTTTCCCCACATAATATCACATAAGCGTTATGGCTAGATCCCTAAAGTTTTTATAAATCTTATTATTTAATAGCACACGATCATATGTTATCCATGCATCATAACCTCAGTACTTACAAGGTCTTTATATTATTTCTAATTTTCCTCAAGTCTAAATCCTATGAAAACTACCTTTGTGCATATGTGGTTGGTATATATGCATCATAACTTTCTGAAAATTTATAAATATTTCCATTATGTTCCATTTTCCCCCAAGTTGAGCAAAGGCAAGTAACCTCTGTGTGGAAATACAATTTGGTTGACTTGTTAAAGACACAGCCTCCTGGCTGTGCCGTCACTTTTTTTATTTTATTTTACTTTTTTTAGGTTTATTTATTTATTTTGAAAGAGAGAAAAACAGAGCACATAAACGGCAGAGGGGAAGAGAAAGTGGGAGAACAGAGAATCCCAAGCAGGCTCCACGCTGTCAGTGCAGAGCCCGATGTGGGGCTCGAACTCACAAATCGTGAGATCAAGACCTGAGCTGAAGTCAAGATCTGGACACCCAACCGACTGAGCCACCCAGGCACCCCTGTGTTGCCACGTTGTATAAGCCGTCTTGCAGAGTGCCGTGTGCACTTAAGTACATCAAAGTCGATGGATGGAAGAAACGAAGCCTTTTCTATTCGTCTGGAACACTGCCTCCCTGTCGCTGAGGTGCCCATGAGACTAACAGGGAAACAAGGAACTAGGAAATGAAGTGATTTGCATCCATGAGGATTCCTTAATGATCGAACAAGACTGATACCCAGTATGGAAGGGTCTTAATAACAATGGCTCCAGGATGTGGCCAAGTGTACAGGTCATGACCGAGACTTGCCTTAGAATCCAGACACTACGATTTACAGTGACTCGGGCTTCGTCTCTCTCGTCTGTAAAATGGGAAGTTTCTGTTGCAGAGGAAGGTGCCAAGGATTAACCGAGATCGTGCTTGTAAAAGGCCAGCACAGGGTCTCCATCCCCCGGCAGGAGTCTGGTGGTGCACTAAGTTACCCCATTTGAATGTGAGGGTATCCCCCTCTGAAAACTTGGGACTGATAAAATATACCTAACCTCCTGCATTTGTAGTGAGAATTAACAGACCAGGTAAAAAACACTGGGCACGGATACAAGCTTTTAACAGCAACGAGAAAGAACCCCTTTATCTTCACTCCGTACTCCAAATCTGTCTCGGTATCAGAAAAATCTGGGGGTGTGTGTGTGTGGGGGGGTGTTAAACATGGACACATCTGAGCCCCACTTTGGAGATACTGAGTCATAATGGAGGTGGGCGCAGAAGGGGCTGGTGTTTAGAGAAATCTGGGCTTTTCACAAGTTATGCAAGGAATACCCAGCCAAGTTTGGGAGGCAATGTCTTCAAAGCAGCTAAGAGAAGCGCTTACTATGCGCCCGGTATCTGCAACCCCCTGTGCCAGAGGTGGGTTCTCTAGGCTGTGTGCGTCCGAAGCGTTCAGGGTAAGGCCAAGGATCCCCTCCCCCACGTCCCCCATCTCATGGGTGGGGCCCAGGGAGCTTTTTTTTCTTTTCTCTTTTTTTTTAAATAAGCGCTCGCGCTCCTAGGTGGCTGGTTTGCGCTCAGGCTCCGGACCCCACTTTGGGAAACAATGCAGCGGGAGAAATGAGGTACGTGAATCAGGCTGCTGTCCTCGTCAGGCAAATTCAAATGAATCCCAAACTCAAAGAAAGCGACCACCGCCCCATTCCCCATTCAGATCTCCACCTTTCATGCGTAAAAGGCTTTGCAGTGCCGCGGCCAGCCCAGCCCGCCAGACCTCATGCAACCCTCGGATCCCCAGACTTCAATGATTTTTGAGCCGCCAAGGCAGAAGTTTTCCCATCAGCGTAATCGCAGTTA